CTAGTGTTTCTGTGATTCTGTGAAATACAAATTGTGTTATGTTTAATCCATTTTGTAGGTATGGAAGAGTTAATTATGTACTGGCTCGAAGACTTGAACTTCTACGAGAAGTTGGGCGATTGCAAGAGAGTCTTGGAGTCCCAGGAGATGTTTCTTACACTTGTGAAACAGCTGGCCACTTTTTCTTATACCAAGTAAGGAGTGAAATACTTCTGCAGAGACTGTGTCATCTCAGTATGTTATGAAACACTTTGTAAAAATTGGAGTGAATTTTTCAGAATTGAGTCTAAAAAAAAAATGCATTTTCTTTGGTGGTTCAAAATACAATAACAGCTAAAGCTATAATTGCAACATTACTTACTTGTATTGCTATTGTTTTAAATCCTGCCTGATGACTCACCAATTGAAAGGCTAGCATTGCTGCTCTTCTTGACTGCTGGCGAAAATTCTAACCTGAATTTTCTCCTTCAGATGAGAAGATCTGTGGGCTGCTTTGCATTTTGGACAAGCTTTAGAGCAGCTACTTGATGATCCTGCTAGAAAGCTTTTATGGTGTTAAATGCCAGTGTGAGATCAGATTCAGTGTATACAAAATGGTGATTTTCTATATATTGTCTATCCCTCATTTCCCTTCCATGTATTTTTCAGTGACATGGTGTATAGTACCAATTAGTGTGGCTTAAGCAGACTTGTAGAGTGGTACATAGGATCAAATGCGTACACTGTAGATGTTTTTACAAAAGTTACGCTGAGCTAGCTGTTGTGTGGGTCTAAAGGTCAAATGGTCACTAGGTGTTTGAGCATACTACGAGCACTGTTAGAGCTCAGCTTCTGAGCTCTCCCAAAGGAATCCAATTTGGTGTTTAAACCGAAGTACTGTAAGTGGAGATAATCAAGAGATTTCTTCTGTCTTGGGTTTATGTGGCAAGGTTTTTGTAGCAGGGGGAGCTGCAAGGATGATCTCTCTGAGAAGAGGCCAGGGGCTGCCCAGTGCTGGACACAACCAGCTCCAACAGACCCACCGCTGGCCAAAGTTGAGCCCATCAGCAACACTGGTTGGCACCTCTGTGAGAAGAGGTCAAGAAACACTGTGCAGCAGCTAGGGGCAGAGAGGGGAGTGTGAGAAACAGCCCCACACACCAAGGTGAGAAGGACAAGGAGGGGCAAGACGTGCTCCAGGCACTGGAGCAGAGGTTCCCCCATAGCTCATGGAGAGGACCGTGGTGAAGCAGGTTGTCCCCCTGCAGCCCATGGAGGACCGTGTCAGAGCAGATATCCGTGCTGCAGCCTGTGGAGGATCCCATGCGAGGGCAGGTGGATATGTCCTGAAGGAAGCTGCAGCCTCTGGAAAGCCCATGCTGGAGCAGGGGAGAAGTGTGAGAAGGAAGGGGTGGCAGAGATGCGGTGTTATGAACTTGAACGACAAGCCCCATTCCTCCTCCACTGCTCAGTGTGGGGAAGAGATAAAGGAGTTGCAAATGAAGGAGTGAAATTGAGCCTGGGAAGAAGGAAGGGGTGGAGAAGAAAGGTGGTTTTGGTTTTGTCTTTGTTTCTCACCGTGCTATTCTATTTTTAATCAGCAATAAATTAAATTAATTTTCCCCAAGTCAAGTCTGTTTTGCCTGTGATGGTACTTGCTAAGTGATCTCCCTGTTTTTATCTTAACCCATAAGCTTTTCCATCCTATTTTCTCCCTCTGTCCTGTTGAGGAGCGGCAGTGAGAGATGCTTGGTGGGAGTCTGGCAGCCAGCTGAGGTCAACCCACCACAGCATCAAAAATGTCGTCCTGATACAAGGTCAAATGCTGATTTAGGCATACCTTGCTTTTGTGATAATTTTTTTTTTAATGCCATGTGTGCAAGATTGCACCTTGCCAATGACTTTATGATATAAAAACATGTCAGTAAGACAATTCTGTTTACCATAGGTAATGTCTCGTTGGGAGGAGTATATCAGCAAAGTGAAAGTTAAAGGTGGAAAATTGCCAGATGTTACGGATGTCTCCAGTTTATTTCCTTTTCATCAGTATTTTGCAAATGCTCCTCAACCAATTTTCAAGGGCAGATCCTATGAAGAAGATATGGAAATCGCTGAAGGGTGTTTTAGACATGTTAAGAAAATATTCACTCAGCTTGAGGTAAGATATGTGTAACTATTAGAGGTAATCCAGTTGAAAACTGTAGACAGTTCCAAAATTCTCCTTTGCCCTACATCCTAAAAGGAGTACACACCTCTAGGCCGTGTCTTTAGCTTGCAAGGCATTTGGGTGAGAATTTCCACCTTTGAGTCATGCAGGCATGTTTCACAATAGGGACAAGGGTCTAACCTGTTTTGTTTTGATCTTAGGAAGCAGCTATTCTGCGTGTTCCATTTTCACTGATTAGTTTACTAGTGTTGGTGCACCTGTCACTGCTCCTCAGGATCTTTGTATTTAGAGACAGATAACCTAGAAGTAACTAGTAAGTTAAGGTGATATGGGTACCATTTGGTCATATTAACTGTATTGGTCTTTCTTAATAATGAATTTGATGGGATGTTTTGATGCAGTAAAGTAAGAAACAAGAAGATACAGAAAAACAAAATTTTGGGGGATTTTGAGAGGGTTCTTCAGAATCAATTGAGTAATTGTCTGCAAATTTACGTATGCACACAGGTTGCAGAATTCTTGGACTTTTTTGTAAAATATTTTTTTAAAATACTGTTGTTTCCAGGTTTAGGATAAAAAAATTATTCAGGTGGCATTGTTAACAGTAGATACTTTCAGAACTTTCTTGCCTAATTATATTAAGAAGGTAGCCAGATAGATTGAGTGAATACATTTTTTAAGCAGTAATTTTTTGTATTCTGACTTTGAAGATTTTCTTTTCTCCTCCATAGGAATTCAGAGCATTCGAACTTCTCCGCAGTGGCCTGGATAGATCCAAATACCTGTTGGTGAAAGAAGCAAAAATCATTGCCATGACTTGTACTCATGCTGCTCTGAAACGACATGACCTGGTTGAATTAGGTTTCAAAGTAATGATTATACTAGTGTTACTACACTAATAGAGTTTTGGGTTTGATTTCTTCCCCCTCCTTGTATAAACCTTTTTATCTGTTCTAAATCTAGGCAACTAGATTATTTTGAGTTGCATTTTTTACCAGTATGTTTCAAATAGTCATTTTACAGAAGCTAGGTTTTTCTTCAGTAACTAAAAGATGGGATCGCTGTTAAGTTATTGTATATAAAAAAATGCTTAGTAAGCATGTCTATTAAAAAAAGTTAGTTTTGCCATATTAGATGATAAACAGCAGTGATATGAATGAGTAATAAAATAAAGGCAGAATTTGGCAAAAAACATGGCCTAGAAAAAGAACTATGATGCAATGCTGTTTTCACTCTGCCGTGTTAACCATAGGTATTCATTTAGTACAGACTTTTTATCTGTCAAAAAAACCCCAAAAGCCCACCTCCAGTAATTCTTTCAGTATTATTTTTCCCCGATAATGCACTGTATTTGATCACAAGAGTGTTCCTTTTCTGCTTCAGTGCAAAGATAAATTAGTTTGCTCCACTGCAGAAAGCTTTTTTCTTGTGCATGGCGTATGGCATACAGGAAGCACATCATGTAGTTAGTCATGGATTTCTTCTAGATGTAAGCCCTGATTGGTACAGATAGATCTGCCATTGATGTAGTAGGATTTTACCCTCTGACATGGATTTTTAGCAATACTGACATTTTGCCTATAAGGTAAAATCCTGCTGTAACTGTCCCACCCATCAAAAAATGAATAATTGATGCTCATTGGTAATTGAATGCTAACTGAGGCTGAATAACTGCATTAATTTGTATTACTTGGTTGATGGACGTGTCTCTACTTTTTTCTTTCTCAGTATGACAACATCTTAATGGAAGAGTCTGCTCAGATTCTGGAGATAGAAACCTTTATACCTCTCCTGTTGCAGGTTAGACCTGAATTATAAAACATACTACAAAAAGTGATAAATGAAAGTCTCTGTTCTTGAACAACATAGAATATTGAAAGGAAATTATCTTGTGCAGAAAATAACCTAGAGCTGATACTTGCCATTTGAGTGGACAGTAAGAACTTTCACGCTGTTCTATGTTAGTTGTTTATCCTTGTTTTTTAATATTATGGAGTAAGCTAATAGGGTCTAAATATGTTGTTTTTATTGACAAAATAGTAGTATTAGCAGGCTTTCATTTTTAAAATAAAAAAATAAACTAGGTCCTGGCTTTGTTACTTTTATTCTTTCTCATTTAGTAGTGATTATTGGTATTTTTAAATAATTGGTAATTTTAAAAATTGTTAAAATTAATACTTCTTATTAAATAATGGTTTTGTTTCCCAATAATGTAAGGCTTCCATAATTGCCCTGTGTCATCCTGTCTGCTTGTGGTGTTCAGTCACTTTCAGTCAAGATTAACAGAGACAGATACCAAGCACCTACAACTCTGAGGAAAACTGGAGCCAAGTAGAGAGGGGACTTCCTAATTAATGTTATAACTCCACAGAAAGAAAATAAATAGTTACTGGTTTACTTCTACTTTTGCCCAATAATTATGCACCTTTTGTTTAGCTAATTGGTAAATGTGTAGCCTGGAATAAATTGCAGCTTGCACTGTGTTTGGCAGATCAACAGTTGATAGATGAAGGGATGCAGATGTGGTATAGCTGGATGGAAGTCTTGCAGCTGGAAAGGTGCTGGTAACACAGGGGAGGAAGGAAACCGCAGCTAATGTGGCACAGGGGATATTTATAGCACAGTCTTTAGAATAGCAGGTAGCAATGTCTCTGTAACGTGAGGGATTGTTGTAATAGAGGGCCAACAGTGCTACTTTTGAAGTTGAGTACCTTACTCTAAAACTGTTTACTCTGATCATTCTAAACACACTCAGTCAGACTGTCTTGAAATTTTTTGTGCCTCCAGTGAAGGTTATCTGTGTTTGCTTTTAGCAACCTGAGCTTGAGGTGCATCACTTTCCCCTTAAAAGAGCTGGAGAATATCATAAGTAAGCAAAATGTGCTTCTTGTGCATCTGTGGCTCTGTTATCTCTGTAATCTCAGATTATCATGAGATAGAATTTCACCTCTGGAAGTGATGTATGGGCTCCCTCAGGAACTCCGTGCAAACTCTTTAGCTGTGGGAAGTCAGTAAAACTGAAGACAGTCTGTACTGTTGATTTCATTCTTACTCTAGCGGCTTTCTGAAAAATACATAGTCTGCATTTGGTCATATTCTAAAATTTAAGTTTCCTTTCAGAAGTTTTGCCTGGAGCACATGTTTTCATTGAAAAGCAATGCTTTTAAGTCTTCTAGAAAACCACATCCCAGCTTTTGGATATTCATTTTAAGAGAAAATTAATCTAAATAGAAAAAGATGTGATAGAAACTCCATGAGATATTTGATATTGAAGCTCATAATTTTTCAATTATTAACAATAATCATTAATGATTATTATTAGCTCTTTAACAATGGAGAGTAGAATACAATTGCAGGAAAGTAACTCATTACAGGCCGAGTGAACAGAAGAATGCATGTCCAAGTTAACCGTATTGCTATTAAAACCCAAATCCCGTTCTCCGTTGCTGTTTAATACTTTAGGATTTTAAGTTTTAGGGGTATTAATGTAGTTCTTTAAGAACTTCTTGATGTATTAAAGACTGCTGAGTTTTCATAATTCTGAGCAGGTAGGCAACTACTTCACCCTATAAGCCTCCAATACTGCCTGAACTCTGAACAGAAGCAGAGATTTGTCCATCTTGTTTGGGGTTTTGAGAGAGCAAACCGCTACTGGGTGAGGCTTCTCACAAATCATAAACCAGGGATAGTCAAGCTGTCTTTCCCCTTCATTTATTAGTTCAGCAATTATAATAACACAGTGAAACAGATTTGGTTCCTTTCTGTCTTGCTTAATGAATCCTCACTGTAGTCTCTAGAACATACAGTTTAGTTAAACCTGAAATACAAGATTGCTTCTTGCTGCTTAGATTCCCCTGTCAGAAAGGTATGGAGGCATAAATTGTTTAGGCCTCCTGCAATTCAGTTTTTAAATCTGTACATAAAGACATGTGTAATAATTTAGGCTGTTGCTTTTGCGTTTTGGCAATCTTTAAATTAATGGTACAACTTTCTATGGTAGTGCTGTGTAATGAATAAATCCTATGTGGCTTTTACCATGACTTTCATTGATAATGAAATTATATTTAGTGAAATAAGCATCTTGGAGTGTTTTTCAAATGTTTAAATAAGCATTGAATAACCAGATGCATCAGGCTGGTGAGGGGAAGTAAGTATATATGAGCAATGCAGAAGCTGAAGAGCTTTGTGTAATTAGAGAAGACCTTTTCACTGTAGAGCAATATTCTGGGGGATATTCAATGACCTTTCTTACAAGAGCCGCCCAAATAGTCCTTGAAATTTGAAACAAATTTTAACAAAACCTAAAGAACTAGGTTTACAGAGTAGTAGTACTTGATTTCTTGCACTTGCAATTCAGAGTAAGAAAATTTTAAAAACAGAGTTCTTTGGAAGGCTCTTTGTCTGAGATTGAAATTGCAGATAAGAGCAGAATGATTATATAGAATGCTTGATCTTATCCAAATCAGTAACCTTTTTGGAGGAGGGGGGGAAAAAAAAAGATATCTTTTTCCATGCCACTGAAAATAATTTCCAACCTCTTACTTTCTTACTGAGGCATCTTCAGGCTTGATGAGCTGGACAGTCCAGAGTTCTGTTTTCCTTTAGGCTCTGTCTTGAATAGTGCTCCTATAGAGAAAGGGAAATGTCACAGGAGTGTGTAAGAAATGAGGTTCTGAATTGTAAAACTTGCAGGTGGAAGTCTTCAGGATTCTAATTCCTGGATAATGTTACCCACACATCTGTTCTATTTTTGTCCCTGTGTTAGTGTTCCTTCATGAGCTCTGTCAGTATGTAACATAGGTACACAAAGGATGATGAGGAACTGGAAAGAGATATACCAAACATACTGAAGAGCATTCAGTACAAGTGCCAGGGTGAGGATTAATTAGGGGCACATCCTGGTCATGTGGGGAATTCCATGTGGGAATTCCAGAGGTAAACAGGTGAAGCACATGAACCACAGAGACACTTGAAAAGCAGGCTCAGTTTCTGCCCCAGACATCAAAGCACTAAAATTGTTTCAGATGCTTCAGGCACTTCATTTTCACTATCTCAGAATCCAAAAAATAACGTTTAAAAGACATTTCTAGGGTAACAGTACTGTGTAGAAATCAGTTGTTTTTACTACTGTAACTTCCATAATTGGTTCTTCCTTTTGTCCTCTGATAATATGTTACTTTTGGTCTTTAAAACAGTGTAATATGATATTTATCTTGATATTTCTCTACTGATTTTAATAGATAAACTTACCTGTTGCTTTATAAGAAACAAGACTATTTAAAATATACTCCCTTTTTCTGGTAGTGGATTGGAAAGAAGCAAGTAGCTGTCTTTAAAATGACCGCAGTTCAGTGTAGCTTAAGAACAAATGCTGAAATTTGGGGCTTAGACTAAGGCAGCTAATTTGACTATTAATGTGTTGCAATTGAGTGCCTTGATTATATTGTAATGTTATAATTGTGTAATTGTTTAATTCTAGAACCCCCAGGATGGATTCAGTCGTTTGAAGCGGTGGATTATGATTGGTGACCATCATCAGTTGCCACCAGTCATTAAGAACATGGCTTTTCAAAAATACTCCAACATGGAGCAGTCCCTTTTTACACGGTTTGTTCGTGTTGGAGTGCCAACTGTTGATTTGGATGCACAAGGAAGAGCAAGAGCAAGGTGAGACAGAGAAAATGGCATGTCTAGCTTGTAAGCAACTACCAGGTTAAAAATTGGGAAAGAACACAGAGCATTGGACACTTCTTTCCTGCTGTTAGGACAGGAGTTTGCAAAACCAATTTAGTTGTTTTGTTTCATTTGTTTCAGCTTAGACTAGGAAGTTAGGTTTACTTTGCTGAAATGCAATCAGTTTTACTTTCTTTTTTTATATATAGTACTCTGTTACTGTATGAATCTTTAATGAAATTTTAATAGTCTTAAGTGTTTGGATGTTTTTACAGCAGATACTTTTTTGCAGAAGCTTCCTTTTCTAAATGAATATATTCAAGGTCACATAAAGAAAATCTTTATATCATATGATATATCATATGTCATATTGCCCTTAAGGTCTGCAAAAGGGTACTTTTCTTGCAGTATTTCAGCAGAGCTTAAGCTTTGATTGGAGACAACCAGGCTGTCCACACAAGAGCATAATGCCTTTTTTTAATATTAAAAGAGATACTGCTTCTCTATAGTAAGATAACTTTTCTTTTTGTCCATATATTTGTCACTTCATTGTGGTAATTTAGATGTCAAATTTATTTATTGTGGAGAGCGCATGTTTGTGGTGTCAGATTAACATGGAAAAATAAAACCAAAGAAGAGAAAATGACTCCATATAAAATCTTGATACTTTTAGTTTTAAATACTAATTTTTTGTTTAGACATAAAGTGGAATGAACAATGTGAAGGAGAACTTCAGGGTTTTTTATGTAAAAAATGTTGGGGATGGTAGAATATTATTTTCTAGTCACATGAATAACACTTTCAGTATGATTTTAAAAATGGAAATTATAACTGAGTATAATGATAAATGAAGTTTATTTTTTCCATCTACGATTTTGCAACATCTGAGAGAACCTCTTAGAGATAAGAGAGCAGAAGAATTCCTTCACTTTGCAAGCAATTTCTTGGTCAAGGATTTTTTCCATACCTGCCTACGCTTTTGTCTTTTCTTATCATAGGTAGCTTCACCATGAACTATCTGCTACTTTCTGATGTGGATATTGTGCATTTCTGACTGAGGCATTTTGTTTATATTATTGTCCCTATAAATACCGTATGATTCAGAATTGTGTAGATTTTGGTTTCTTCCCTTCATGTCTCCTGTTAATACATAGCAATACACAAAATAAGAAAATTAATTTCTTTTTGCAGTAAGAGGCTTTACAGCAGATAATGCAGAAAACCCTTTTTTCACTTACTCCTTCCTTTTTGTAAAGAAGCATTAATATGCCTCGAGTTTTGTTCCCCCTGAAAATTCGTACTAGGTCTCTTTGCAAAATTTGTACCCTTCAGTCTAGAGCTGATCAAGTGTAACAGGGTTAAGGTTGAGTGCTGCTTTGAACTTCTAAAAAGAAGTGAAGTTTTCTGTTGGAGAGAACCAAACAGAATCAAAACTTAAAAAATAATTGCTGGATAGCTTGTACAAGTATGTTCATTTATATATGTACAGGCTATCCAGCAATATGTTTTTTTTCATTGAAAACCTACAAAAGCATTCATCTTCAAGGTGAGGGGTTGCGTGTATCTGAATTATTTTGAATGAGTTCAAGAAGCTGCTTTAACTATTTGGGATTTGTCTCTTTGTGGTTTTGAACAGTTTATGTAATCTCTACAACTGGCGTTACAAGAATCTGGGTAACCTGCCTCACGTGCAGCTTCTGCCAGAGTTCAGAACAGCCAATGCTGGGTTTTTGTATGACTTCCAGCTTATAAACGTAGAAGACTTCAATGGTGTGGGAGAATCTGAACCCAATCCTTATTTCTATCAGGTAAGAGAAATACTACATGTATACTTTATTTAATCTCAATATGGTTTACTAAATCTGCAGTGAAGACTATCAAAATACAGTAAACTGATGTTTAATTCATATTCTCAAATAATTGAGTCATAGGTACGCATTGATTTTTTTTTTTCTCCATTTAATCGGTTTTGAATGTTGACAATAATAATGTATTATGTTGTGATTTTTTTCTCAAAATTAATGGCTTTGCTTGATATCTGTGTTTTCTCAGTGTTTTGAGAGGGGTGAAATTTGGTGTATAATTCCTTATGAAATGTTGTTTTGGCCTGTGGCAAACTAAAGTCCATTGTAATTCAGCTGTACTGCCATGATAGTGAAATAAACGGTAGCATTTCCCTTATACGTGAAGGTTCAAAGTTTGCTCTGTGGCACACGTTTGAGTTTGAAGAGTCACTGTGCTTATCTGTGTGTAAGAATGCTAAAAAGCCCATTCATAAAAGAATGAAATATACATAAGAGGCAGAGAGACATCGAGGCTGAAGTAGATTGCCAAAATAATCATGGCCTTGAAAGTTCTCAACTAAATTTTCAAATTAAGCCAGCAGCAACAGCCTCTATCTATTTCTCTTAAATGTAGGAAAACCTTTTACACTTGTAATGAGATGCTGATATTTTCAGTCCTCGTATTTTTCGTGTTTTAAAAACAGTGAAGAAAACAAACTCTGCTGCCTAAATTACCAGTTTGGGTTTTGGCAAAGTTAGAGGCTGGAGCTGTGTGGAAGTTAATGAGTTTAATTCAAACATGGAATTCACACCTTACATTTTGTTTAATATTATGAAAAGCAAACAATATACTTCAAGATGATAGTATTCATGGTCATTTTTTGCCTGTGAAGATCACTGAGAGTTATATTAATCTATTTTTTAAAAGGTATGGAAGATACTCATAGTTTATGCTCGCTTTTTTTTTAATACAAACTAGCATGCTGTTAGTAAACAAAGCAATGTTGAGTCATAAACCACTTATCTCATTTCTAGTTTGAGGCTAGGGTTGTTTGGAGGGGAGGGTTTGTTAATGATTTTGTTTTTTAAGCTGTAATAGTGTTGTGTACAAGTAGTAAAAAGTTGTCGTGTGGAACAGATGAAATTAGTGCCTTAAAAACAGGATTCTGCTAACTGAGAATCTTAGCACTGCTTTAGTCCACTCCTCGGCCAAAGACGACTGAGAACACTCACACAAGGGCACAGAACACCTTTATCATTACAACAGTGCTTTCATGAGCAAACTCTTATAGTGAGTCCTACAGTTAATTTTTTTTCATGATCTTGAGGATGGAAAGATATCAGCAGAGTATGTTGGTGGCATTGTATGGTTTTTCATGAGATAACAAATTCCTGCCATGTATTATTTGTCTCTCTGTGAACTTGGGCATTTCTTTTCAGACTTAAAGGGGATTAAGATTTGTAGAATAGCTTTATGCCCACAGGTGTTTGGTATGAGTAGTAACTGCATTTTCCAAGTAATGCAGAGCCCACTTAGTAAGAAGAAATAAAGGAGGCTGGTATGTCTAGCCTAATCAAACATACACCAAGCTGGGGATAAGATTCCCAGTATAAATAGAGCAGCAATAAATGTCAGCAACTGAGAATAACTTTTTAGCCTGAAAGATAATTTTTGTTGGCGGAAAAGGGATTTAAACAGGCTATGAATAACTTCAGGCTGGAAATAGGGTGAAACTTCCTACAACTAGAAGAGTGATGCTTTGCAACAGACATTTATTATTAGTAATGGCACAGAAAAAAAGTTAGGAAATACAAAATAACAGCTGGTCATTTGAAATTTAATAGGTATGGCCTCAGTAGAAATAACTGGATTTGATGATCCATGTCTCTCTCCTAAATGACAGTTGAAAGGAGTTTAGTTATTCCAGTTCAACTAGTTCTTATTTTCAGCTTACTGGAGAGTGAGTCACTGAAACTTTTTGCATGTGTATTTGGAACCAATAGAACCAATATTAAATTGGTAGTAAGTGGGGTTTTGTTTTTTTTTTTAAACCCTTGTATTTAAATACAGGTTACTGTAGACTATCAGCTTGTAATACTTTTTAACAAATAATAATTCCACAGTTTTACCTAGCAGGTGGGTTTTTTGCATGTGACATTTAAGAATGAAAAATAAAATGTTGTACTTGTTGAGTTCTATAATAATGCAGTTCAGGTGCAAGTTCCATTGGGCAGACAGCTGTAAGCACATAAATGCATTTATATACAAATGTGTAAATATTTAATAGCTCATAAATATAATGCAAATGGACTATTAAATATTTAGATTTTAATCTTGTCTTGAAATAAAACTGGGAGCTTCTGAGTAAATATTGGAAAGTGTCAATCAATGACTAACAATAATACTGATAAAGAAATTTTCAGGAATTCTCTGAAGAGGAGTCAGAATGAATTAAACCTACTTGTGGTTCTTTTGTTCTTTGAAAATGGCTTTTAAGTGAGCAAACAAAGATCAGATCTATAGGTGTTTCTCGGCACTTAGAATTTTGTCTAAATAAATGATAATGTCACAGACGTTATTCCTTCCAACCTTACAAATTGAGTAACTTTTTTTTCATTCATATCTCTCTCCTCTTTTAAACTTAAGAATCTTGGTGAAGCAGAGTATGTTGTAGCACTCTTCATGTATATGTGCCTGCTTGGTTATCCTGCAGACAAGATAAGTATCCTGACAACATACAATGGACAGAAACACCTGATCCGTGATGTCATTAATCAGCGGTGTGGAAATAATCCACTGATTGGACGGCCAAACAAGGTGACTTTGAAAAAAATATCAATCCTTGGAGTGGTTCTGGTTGTTTTGTTTTTAAATTGTCATATTATAGAACAGACTAATTGATAAGAATCACAACTTTCTGTGTGAGTGTTCCTTGGTTAACTACACGTTTGTTAACCTACATTCTATGGAATTTCATACAGTAGTGCCCTCGTTTCTGCCTGTTTGTAATTTGACATACAAACAAACTGGAGTCGGTGAAGTTGGAAAGGCTACAGACTACATGGGACAAAATAACTCTTTTCTTTGTCATTTATTTTGTCCTCAAAAAAACCAACCCCAAAAACCACAGCTTTAGGAAGATCTACCCAGAGTGGAAATTATTTGATAAAATGTGTGGTGACAAATCTGATGAAGCAAATAAAAACCATAGTTATAAAAGTCTAGTGCTAATTCTGCAGGTTAAAACTCTGTATTGTAAAACTGATGGTTTTCCACAATCTTTTGGTATTAGCACCCCACTGTTAGCTGTCTGAGTTGAATAAAAATGTAAGAGTTGGTATACAGTCAGACAAAAGCTCCTCCCAGCATATCCCAAAAAGAACAGGCTGATGATTTTTGGTTAGAGGTCAACTAAAACAGTGTTAAAGTATTTTCTTTCCTCTTCTCACTTATTGCAGTCTCAGTCAGAAGCTGATGTTAAAATTTTGGTGTTACATTTTAATTGAAATGGCAAAGATTAACCTATGGAGGGCTTTTTTTGTTTTGATTCTCTAGGTAACAACTGTGGACAGATTTCAAGGTCAACAAAATGATTATATTCTCCTTTCACTAGTGCGTACCAAAGCTGTAGGCCACCTTAGGTATGTAAGAAGATACTCTTGTAGTGTCACTAAACTACATTTTTTTTGTATAATGTACTATAAACATCTTACTTAAATAATTGAACCCTTCTGTATTAGAATGTAGTAGAAATGAAGTTTAATGCTATGTATTGAATGAAGTTCAGGCATACTTCCTTTTATAATTGTCTGGTACCCTCTTTACAACTGCTTTATCATTTAGTAATGGCTCTTATACTTAGTTTATATTACTGCGGATAGGCTGAACTTGGTTTCACCCTAGTAGAATAATAGGAATGTAATGCTTGTTGAACAAATGCAGGCTTAAATTTTCTCAGAGATTCTTTGAGCTTTTTATTTGTTTTGTATCAGAAGTGTTTGATCACTGCGTAAGTTGCATTATGATGTGTAGTTTAAAATGTTTGCACTTCAGTTATGGGGTGGGGTGGAGGAAGACTTGTCTATTCAGCAGTAGTTAGATGAGTTATCAAACTCATGTTTACTCATTCAGAGGTACAGAAATGCTATTACGATTTGTTCTCAATATAAATTCTCAATATAAATGACCTCTGAATTCTGGGAAGTAAAGGGTCATTTTATATCATTATCATTACAGTGAACCCTCTTATATAATGGTTCTAGGATTTGATAGTTATTGAAACAGCGTGT